TTTTGTATTTGTGTTCTTTTTTTTTAAATTCCACATATGAGCGATCTCATATGGTATTTTTCTTTCTCTTTCTGACTTACTTCACTTAGAATGACATTCTCCAGAGACATCCATGTTGCTGCAAATGGCATTATATTGTCAGTTTTTATGGCTGAATAATATACCATTGTATAAATATACCACAGCTTCTTTATCCAGTCATCTGTTGATGGACATTTAGGCTGTTTCTATGCCTTGGCTATTGTAAAGTGCGTCTGAATTTGGTCTGTCTTAGGGCTCATCTGTTAAGTGAGCTCGGAAGTTAAGACACTTTTTCACAGTGTCGATAGTGACCCTTCCTGCCGTGAGTCACAGGACCCAAGGCTCACACCCTCAGTAGCCTCTGTGGTTCAGAGACTTCAGCATTTTAACCTTTATAGCCTAGTTTGCATTGGTCACAGTCTCCGGCCTGCTCAGATGGCCCCCCACGCACTTTCTCTAGCCCCGGATGCACAGTCATCACAGCTGTGCAGGGGTCAAGTCAGGGATGTCCTTGCATCAGACCAGGCTTGGCCCTGAAGAGCGCCCTTGGGGTCCCTTCCTGGGAGGCATGCGAAGCCCTCCTTAGAGAGGCCAGGAGTCTCTGATTGGTCTTGGACGGTATGGCCTTTTTGTGTCTAAAGCCTCACACAGGCGGGCTGAAGGGGTTGAGCTGGGACGGGACAGTCACTCTGAGAGCAGCAGGTGGCCGTGGGCAGTGGGGGTGGCCAGGACTGCAAACCCAGCCGAGCTGCCTGGCCTCACGCTGCCGCTGTGCTGGGGCTGGGGGCGCCTTGCCTTCCAGAGCACCCCCCCCCACAATGAGTGACCTAAGGATACCATGGCTGTCTCACAGAGTCAGTGGGGAGAGTAAACGACATGTGTGTGAACGTACTTTCTATGTAATGAGGCTCTCTTGATGCTCAGAGCAAGTGCTCACTGTTAGTTTCCTAAAGTAATTTCTGTCAGTAGACAAAAGTAATTTTATGCATGCTTTTTCTTAAAGGTGGTCGTAAGTTTGGTTTTTATACATTTGGTAACAGCTGCGTTATAGCGGCTTCTATTCTATTCTCATCTTCTTTCTTAATAACCATTGAATTAAGAGTCTTATGATGCTCTACTTAATATGGAATAAAAGACGCATACCGTTAATTGTTAGAGACGTGCTCAGCAGTATAAAGCACGAGGCTGGGCTGCAGAAGTGAATTAAATGTTAAAAACACCCCGGAGCAGGCCCCGACCCCCTCCGGCCGCGGGGTACCTGCGATGCTGACGTGCGCCTCTGGACACCCGCGGGTCCCACGGAAGGGGTGCCGTGTTTTCCACATCCTCCTCTTTCACAGGCATCAGTGTTGCAGCCTTTCTTGGTGGTGAATTATTTTTGCCTCTGAATATAATAGTTCAGTTTGCGAGCCACGGCCCCCCATGACCGCTGTCCTCTCTCTGATTAACAAAGAGCCGATTTGCCGTTGCAGCTCCGGCACTTGGGGAACGACGAGGTCCACATCGTGTGGTCTGAGCACTCCCGGGACTACCGCAGGGGCATCATCCCGACCGCCTTCGGGGACGTCTCCATCATCATCTACCCGATGAAGAACCGCATGTTCTTCATCGCCATCACCAAGAAGCCCGAGGTACGTCCTCAGCGCTGTCGCCCTCTGGCTCGGCCGGCGCTTGTCGTGACCCACCGCAGCTGAAACCAGTGGCGTGAACACGTCTGGGGGGGCCCTCGTCCTGTATCTGAGTCACACGCGCTGTGCAGGAGTTAAATAGGAATTGGGATTTTCAAAGAATCATCATGGGCACAGAATTCTATCTTTTATTTCTGGGACTCTGAAAATGATAGACGTTTATGATTTTAGAAAAGGGTTTTAATTTTTTAAATTTTGTAATTAAAAATGGTAATTTTTAAAAAGTTTTTATTTTTGTTTTGTTTATTTTTTTAATTGAAGTTTAGTCGATTTGTAATGTGTTAGTATCTGGTGTACAGCATAGTGATTCAGTTATATATATATATACGTATGTACATATACACATACACATACATGCACGTACTCCAGTTCATATTCTTTGTCATTATATGCTCTTACAAGGAACTGAATCTAGTTCCCTGTGCTGTACAGTAGGACCTTGTCGTTTATCTGTTCCTTATACAGTAGTGAGCATCTGCAAATCCCAAACCCCCAACTGTAATTTAAAGTTCGGGGCCTATTGATCAATAGTAGTAGCTGTTGGAGGAGCCCGTTACCACAGCCAGGTGCCACTGGGGCTGCTGTGGGGCTGGGCCCCAGCCTTGAGGTGCAGGCAGGTGCCGTGCGCCGGGCCTCTGCTGCTGGCGGGGGTCGGTCCGGAGGGGCCGTGGGCAAGTCTGTGAAGAGGCCAGGCCTCCGCGGCACAGCCCGTGCGAGGGTTTTAGCGACGGGAGCACCTTGTCGTGGCCAGCCCAGCCACGTCGGCTGGTACTGCTCGAGGGGACGGCTGGGAGGACCCGGGGCCATGTGCCGGGTGCCCGGTTGGCTTCCGTTTCCAGCCTTGTGCCTTTAGGGTAGTTTAGCCGTGCTTTATACAGCAGCCTGTTTTTGTTTTGGAACTATTAATGCAGGACTTTCTTTCTGTGTAATGTTTTAATTAAACATTTGGTGTATTAAGTCCCTGCTCCTCGAGAAAATGACCGTGTTTCAGCTTGATATTAAATACCACCTTCATTTTCATTCCAAATTGTCCTCCTGAAGGAGCTAAAAGTTACCCTTCTAAATACTCTATTTTTTCTTTTTTTTTTTATGAGGGGCAGGTAATTAGGTTTATTTATTTACTTTTATTTGGAGGAGGCACTGGGGATTGAACCCAGGACCTCGTGCATACTGACCATGCACTCTACCACTTGAGCTACACCTTCCCCCCAAATACTCTCTATTTTTAGTCTTTAAAATAATAGGTAACGATTTCCTGGGGTTTATAACCCAATCTAAAGTGTCAAAGTTGTGAGGATTAAATGAGCTAAGAAATGGAAAGTTGTTTCAAACAGTGCCTGGCCCAGAGTCAAAGCTGTTGAAGGGGTTTTTATCATCGTCGTCATCATCATCATCATCATCATCATCATCATCATCATCATTGCTGTTGTTTTTTGTTATAGTTACTACCATGAAAATGGAATAAATAATGACAGTGTGGGTCAACTCCTGAATTCAGGAAAGCCCCAGTCTGGCTGGTGAGACAACTGCCATTAGGAAACTCTTTTCTATTCAGGGAGCAAAGATGCCAGAAGTTCTTCGTGTCAAATCTTTGTGTTATCTTTAATTCAAGTCTCTGCATCTGCAAAGTTTTCACTTTCGTATAAGCAGATGGCTTTTAGTGCTGATAATGTTTGTGTGTGTCCATGAAGAATAGTACTTTAACAAGAATTAGATTGAAAACTTTAATATTAGATAACCAATGAATTTAGTATCCCATAGCTTTCAAAGCTGGAAAGTGTATTTCTTTAATATTTAGCATGGATTAACTGGCTTTATTAGTTCATTTCAACATGGCCCTCTAAAATGTCATGTAATGTCCTAAAAAGTCACCTTTATTTTTATAGGAGATTAAGAACGTCATTTTCTAGCATCAGAGTGATTTTTAAAAAAGTATTCTACTTATGCATGAAAATAAGTATTAACATGCCTTTTAAAACTCCTTAAAAAAATGTAAGTTTTATAAATTTGGCCATAAATTCTGACGAGATGAACTGAGCAAATCGCTTTCTTAATATTTCAATTCAAAAAGCCAAAGGGAAGAGGAAATGACGGCCAACTGGAAATTTAGTGTCATCCCCACATTTAAAGTACAAACCATTACAACGTAATAAAATTAATCCAGACATTTCCAGGGCAAGTGCGGCTGACCTTTCGTTCCCCAACCACTGACCCCAGGGTGAATGCAAGAGGCCTGTGGAGGGAAAGTCTGTTTGTTTGGCTTCGGTCCCTGGTATTTAAATTGCATTCCCTAATCAAATGAAAAGGCTGTCCTCTCTATCAGGTTACAGAATCCATGGCAACATTTGGCCTTTTATATCCATAATGTTAGCCTTTTTGTTTGCCTCTAAGTAGAGACACCTGGAGCAATGTTAACATTAACCGATTTAGCATTAATAGCTTCATTATATAAGAATTTCTGATCAGATAGCTGTTACTTTTGTGATATTGCTTCAGCTTGTATTGTTGTCATTTTTTATCTCCTTGCTTGGCAACCAGGCAATGATTTGCAAATTTTTTTTGTCTTGATTAATTAAGCAATATAATTATCAGTAACCATGATGCAGTCTTTGCTCAACAAAGCTTCTGAGCGAAAACAATGGTAAGTCTGTTAGTATGAATGCATTCCACGCGTCCCAGATGCATGAGGATATTATGGACAATGAGGGGAAAGGCCGCCTGGGAGCGAGGACAAAGGGTGTCACGCAGACTCGACACACTGCACATACCGCCAGGGACACGCCGCGGGCTCCCGGGGACACAGACGCCTCGTTAGATTACAGCCAGTCAGCAGAGATTAATTCTCAGCCATTTGGTGCAATAATTTACCCATTCCCCAGTCTTTTAACTAGCGCTCCTTACCATGGGAGTGAAGGCTTTGTCCTCAGAAGGTTTATTTGACCTTGCCTGCTTCTAGGGATCTCAACCAAAATCGTTTTTTTGGTTTAGAAGTTGTCATGACACCGCTGCTCGAAGTTGAGGAGTATTCCTTTCGGGGGGACAGGATGTGCACAAGTTTCAAGGACGACAGGTAGTGTCAGAGGCCTTCTTCCAGCACCTGGGTATTCACGTCACCCGGACGTGGCGCGGCGCTGCGCTCCGGGTGCACTTTCCTGGCCTCTGGGGAGCCATGCTTCTCTAAGAATAATTCTACTCCTTTTTTAGGAGGGGAAAAAAACCTCATCAGTGCACAGAAGTCCCGCTCGCTGGATACAGTCATGCATATTCAACTTGTCCTTTTATCCCCTCGGCCTCATTAGTGGCGTGGTGACAATGTGGGGCTATTTGTAACGCAAGCTCACAGGCAGCTCTGCTTCTGAGTCCTTTGAAATTTAACATATTTCGCTTTTTCACCCGTACATCTCCCTTGAATATACAAATTATGTGCCTGGCAGAATCCGCCTCCTTTTAATAACATGGCCTGTGCGAGGTGGTACACGGAGGGGGTGAGAGTGTGTCCCCGCAAACACGTAAAACCCTCGCGCCTGGGAGGGCCCGCTCCTTCTGGGGCTTTCTTTTGCACTTTTTGAAAAATAAAGTAAGTAAATAAATAAATAAATAAAGTAAGTAAGTAAATAAATAAAACCAGTGTCTTTAGCAACACACTTTCATTGTTAAATTGCTTTCAAGGTAATTCCATCTCCCCAAACATAGACGACGGTCTTGGGTCCCAGAAAAGAAATGCTCTCTTGTCAGTGTTCGGGTTTTTCCTACGCATGTCGCTAAGCTGGCCGTCGGGGAAGACTTACCTACAGAGCAGAACACAGGTGACCTGAAGGGTTTTTTCAGATGTGCCGTTTGTCCTAAAGAAAAGTGAGTCCTAAAGCTTCTGAGTTGCAGGAGGTCCCCGTGTGGCTTTCCTTTTTCCCGTAACTGAAAACAGTATTTATTTGCTTTTACAAATTTCGTGAAGGTCGGTGTTAGCGTTTTTGTCATATTTATCTCTAGGCATGGTAGTGACTGGCCAGTGACTCTCTGACCAGAGGGTGGACGTGCCGAAGCAGTGTTGACCAGCAGTGGTTCAGGCCAGAGGAGGCTTTGGGGAAGGGTCCCCTTTGGCGCCCCAGCCAGAGTGTCAGTTTTGTAAATGGACAGCTTTTTCCTGTCCTCCCAGCTCTCCCTCCTCGGTCTGGTAGACATCAGGGCCCCTTAAGTCCCTGTGCTGTCACAGCTGGGGGAGGGGCTGTTCTGGGCAAGTCTCTCAATTTCTTTGGACTTTAACTTCAGGTCCAGACGTGGACCTGGAATGTGCAGACTGGGGACCACAGTCTCACTACGCCCGTTCAGGGAGTCTAAGTGCCGCTTTAAGAGGATGGGCCCTTACTGGGTCCTCCTGTTGCTGGATGTCCGTCCTTTCCCTACGTTGCCCTGAGGCTGCTGTTGAGGGAGTTCCTGGCCCCCTTGCAGGCCCAGCAGCTGGTGTGTGTGCGTGTGTGTGTGTGTCCCTCTTCGGGGTGACGGCTAGCCAAGGACCTTCCCCTGAAGCAAGTGGTCCAAGTGCTGGTTAAGGCTGATGCCCCACCAGCCACAGGCGCCTGTGCATGTGTGAGGTCGAGAGGAGCCAGTGTCGCACCTGTGTTTGGAAGGAAACCTTTTACTAGTGTGGCTTTATTGTAAAGGGAGTGTGTTTGCCTGCACCACAGTTCTGGAAATGTCCTTTTATTTCACATGTGCAATTTTCTTAGCTATTTATCTCAACCCCAGCCAAATAACTTCTTTGAGACTAAGTGACACACTTTAAAATGCTTTGGAGAATTCTCAGGGAAAGTAAGTTGTTCGGTTTTGAGCATGTAAAGAGTCATTTGTTTTGCAAAGATAGTTGAAAATATTGAATAACCAGAATTCACTGAAGTATGTTATTAAGTGGATTACTGTGATATGTCCTGTTTTAATGATTTATTATT